AGCTGAAGTCGGTCACTCAACTGACTGAGCCACCCAGGCGCCCCAGTAGGCAAGAATTTTTAAAATTATTTTTTGTTATTAACTTTTTAAGTTTATTTATTTATTTTGAGAGAGCAGGGGAGGGACAGAGAGAGAGGGAGAGGGAGAGAATCCCAAGCAAGCTCCTCACTGTAAGCACAGAGCCCAATGTGGGGCTTGAACCCAGTACTGTGGGATCATGACCTGAGCTGAAGTCAAGAATCAGATGCTCAACCGACTGAGCCACCCAGGCACCTCTTGTTATTAACTTTTAACTTAATTACATGTTGGTCCCATGTCATAGTCTGTAAGTTATCTATTATTTAAAATTTATTTAGGCTTTATGATCTAGTACATGATTTATTTAAAAAGCATTCATATGTCCTTAAGAAAACTGTGAGTGTACTGTATTTATTGGATGCAGAACTCAGGCTTATTCTCATGGTATGGTTCAGATCTTATATATTATTGTTGATTTCATTTTTTTGGTCTGCTTGACTAATCAGTAGTTGAGAGAAGCAGCATTATTGAGGAGGGCACTTGGAATGAGCACTGGGTTGTTGTATGTAAGCAATGAATCATGGGAATCTACTCCCAGAGCCAAGAGCACACTGTATACACTGTATGTTTTACATATAAATTATATTTTATTTTTTTTTAATTTTAATGTTTTTATTTTTGAGACAGAGAAAGAGCATGAGCAGGGGAGGGGCAGAGAGAGAGGGAGACACCGAATCCTAAGCAGGCTCCAGGCTCTGAGCTGTCAGCACAGAGCCTGACATGGGGCTCAAACTCACAGACTGTGAGATCATGACCTGAGCTTAAGTCAGACGCTTAACCGACTGAGCCACCCAGGCACCCCAATAAATTATTTTTTTTAAAAATAAATAAAATAAAAGCCAGGAAACTGAAGGGGAAAAAAGACACTCCTTAGATTTTAATCTGCCAATTATGAGGGTTTGGAGAAGTCCTGGGCAATTGTCATAGTTAGTTCCTACCTATTTTTTTATTATTTATTTTGAGAAGGGAAGAGAGAGGGAGAGAGAGAGAGAGCATGCGTGAGCGAGAGCGAGTGCCAGCATGCATGAGCCAGGGAGGGGCAGAGGGAGAGGGAGAATCCCAAGCAGGCTCCACACTGTCAGCACAGAGCCTGACTCGCTCAAACCCATGAACTGTGAGATCATGACCTGAGCCAAAATCAAGAGTCAGATGCTTAACTGAGTGAGCCACCCAGGTGCCCCCCACCCCCACCTATTTTTTCCCAGCTCTTCACCAGCACAGGGTTTCTGCCCTGCCCTAAATTCACTCTGCCCTGCCCTGAAGTCTTGACCAGAGATCTGAGTCCCAGCAAGTGTGGGAGAAATACTGTTGTCTCAAGATTTAGGGGAGGAAGAAGCAAGAGCAGAAACCCTAGAGGTTCCTTTTCTATTTTATCCTCCCACACTGTACCACAGGGATTTCTCATAGTTTCCCTTTTTCTTGGTGTTTTCCTTACTCAGTCCCTTTGGGGTTGATCTTGGGCAATAGGGGAGCCAGAAGCTATGCTAGTTGGGTTTCTTGGTAGAGACCAAACCGGAGTATTGCACCTTGATATACGTGCGTCACCTGTAACGTCCTAGAAATAGAACTGCTTGAACACTTCTTTCCACATTAAACCTGTGTTGCCTCTATATTTTTTCTTTTCTTTCTCTCTCTCTCTCTCTGTTTTTTGTTTGTTTGTTTGTTTGTTTTGTGTGTGTATAACACTACCAACATCCAAGCACATAAACCAGAGCAATGTTTTTTCTTTTTTTTTTTTTTTTTAAATTTTTTTTTCAACGTTTGTTTATTTTTTGGGACAGAGAGAGACAGAGCATGAATGGGGGAGGGGATGGGGGAGGGGCAGAGAGAGAGGGAGACACAGAATCAGAAACAGGCTCCAGGCTCTGAGCCATCAGCCCAGAGCCTGACGCGGGGCTCGAACTCACGCACCGCGAGATCGTGACCTGGCTGAAGTCGGACGCTTAACCGACTGCGCCACCCAGGCGCCCCTGTTTTTTCAAACCTAGAGGTGGGATAATAGAAAATGTTCGGGGTTTACCACAAAATTAGGGTAAATATTATTTGTGAAGCTTTTACTTCCTCGGTATGTGTACATGCACAAATACTCACAAGTATGTGTGCTGGGCTGTGCTGAAGAATCTACTAACGTGGATTATAGTCGGAAAAGTCGAAAATCACCGACTAGAGAACTAGGCATCATTTTGGACCCGTCCCTCTGCCTTCCCTCCTACAGCCATTGAATTACCAAGTCGGTCGATTCTACTTCCTCAATAGTTCTCAAATGTATCCCGTCTTCCTCTTCCCTCCCAACCACCACTCTGCTTCCAGCACTTTCTGGATGACTGCAACAATCTTCAGATCCGTGCTCCGCCTCCTTATTCCGATCAGAGTCATCTTTCCGAAATGTACATTTTCCTTACGTAAATCCTCCTGTGGCGCCCTGTTGCCCACAGATGACTTCCAGGCTTTATAACATGGCCCCTGCCTACCTCTCTAGCTTCATCTGCTAGCCTTCTAGTATCACAGCTAAACACCAAACCGCTTTCGGTTTTCCTCACGTTCTGTGATGAGTTTTATTTTGTTCATTCTTTCACTTTTGCCTGGTGTGGGAAGGGAGGGTCCTTTACTCCCACCCCTTTTGTGGGGGTGAACTCCAGCTCGTGTACTCTGACTTCGTATGTGAAGTCTTACACCCCTACATCCCCCACCCCTGGAGTCCCTCCTCTATGTTTCCAGAATATTCTAGGCATCGTGCATTGCACAGCCAAGTTGTTTTTAAATCATCTGTTTAGGTGAGTGTTTACTTTTTTTTTTTTATGGGCAGTAACTAAACATCATACTCATGTTAGTGCCTAAAAGAATATCTAGCTCATTTTGGGTGTTGGTCAGATGTTGGCTCAATGACTGAAGATCTGGAAAGTTCAAGCACCTTTTCCAAATCATGTTGCTTATAGGTGACAGAATTAAGACTGGGAAACAAAGGGCCTCTTATTATTGTTTCATGCTACAGACGAGTACTCCTTCTAGTACGTAATGTAAAACTGAAAAAGTACATTTATTGTGCAATACCGAATAAATCACTTTAAGCTAGTTTGGTAACAATCAAGATGATTAAGTTAACCTTTGTGAATAATCCAATTTTTGCCTACTGTAAGGGAGTCTATTTCTGGCACATGAACAGTTTTGGCGTGAAATCTAATATTTGCAAAAAGGTAAAATAGTGCAAGTAGACTCAAAAGTAATTTGGAAAAATCAAAGTGACCTTTTTGTGACTCTATTTTGAGCGGTCATTTAGAACTTTAAAATATGTAATGTGACGGATTCCAGGCATACTGTTTAAAACGTGATGTGAGCTTTAGTTTAGAATATGTAAAAGATGGGAATGGTGGCATTTGAAGAATTACACTGTAGGAAAAGCTCAAGATATGTTTGAATCACATTTACAGATGCAAGTTATGACATAGAGTGATTCTTGTGCCTTCTTCCAGTTTCTGTAGCATATTGCAGAAATCAGTCGGGGTTTAGAAACTAAGACCCATCCATCAGTTTATTGAAGGATAGAGAAATATATTTCAATCTGGGCCTATCTCCAATTTCAGAAGTTTTTAGAGAAGCAGAAGCTGTTTCAAATTTCCACTTGTGGAATTTGAGAAGCAAAAACAAATGAATAAAGAAAAAAAAAGAGACCAACAGAAACCCAGCCTCTTAAATATGGAGGACAAACTGGAAGCTGCCAGAGGGGAGGTGGGGGGGTGGGGGTGATGGGTGAAATAGATAAAGGGGATGAAGAGCACATTTATCCTGATATAATGTATAGAATTGTTGAATCATATTGTACACCTGAAACTAATATGATGCTATGTGTTAACTATACTTGAATTAAAAAAATAAAAACCAAAAAAGTGGAGCATCAGAAACAGAAAAAGGGTCAGAGCTGAAATATCCCTTAATAACATCCAAAGTGCTGTGTGTAGGAGGATTTCCCCAATCGTTTCCAAAAGATATTGTTACAGTTAGTATGTTGAAACAGGATCCAAACAGTGTCCCCACATTGGTTGGCTGATGTGTCCTTGAATCTTCCTTTATCACGGTCTCCTCTCCCTTCTGCCCCCCATTCCTTTTATTTATTGAAAAAAATAATTTGCGCTCTTCATTTTCTTACTATGTTGCAAAGTCGAGGAGAGTAGGTACTTAAGATTTTAGCACTTAGGAATTGTGCCTGGGATCCAGTAGACACTTGACTATCGGACTGTAGTCTATCGGACTATTATTTGTCTGATGCTATTGATAATACTCAAGGCCTGTGTTTTGTCCCTGCAGGTTGATCCAAAAGACTACATGTTCAGCGGACTGAAGGATGAAACAGTAGGTCGCTTGCCTGGCCAAGTGGCAGGACAACAGTTCCTCATTCAAGACTGTGAGAACTGTAACATCTATATTTTTGATCACTCGGCTACAATCACTATCGATGACTGTGCTAACTGCGTGATTTTCCTGGGACCTGTGAAAGGCAGCGTGTTTTTCCGGAATTGCAGAGATTGCAAATGCACGTTAGCCTGCCAGCAGTTCCGTGTGAGGGACTGTAGGAAGCTGGAAGTCTTTCTGTGCTGTGCCACTCAGCCCATCATTGAGTCTTCCACAAACATCAGGTTTGGCTGTTTCCAGTGGTACTACCCTGAGCTAGCGTTCCAGTTCAAAGACGCAGGGCTAAGTATCTTCAACAACACCTGGAGCAACATTCATGACTTCACGCCTGTGTCAGGAGAACTCAACTGGAGCCTTCTTCCAGAAGGTGCCGTGGTTCAAGACCATGTTCCTCTCCCTGCCACCGAAGAGCTCAAAGCTGTCCGCATTTCCACAGAAGCCAACAGAAGTATCGTTCCAGTGTCTCGAGGTCAGAGGCCGAAGAGCAGTGATGAATCCTGCTTGGTGGTATTATTTGCTGGCGATTATACAATCGCAAATGCCAGAAAACTAATTGATGAGGTAAGGAGAGAGACCAGAGAAACAGACACACACCTAGGTAGAAGCACACCACTTTCTGGAGAACTTTCTTTTCAAATTGGCTGGTAGAAATACAGGCAGTCCTTGGGGCACCTGAGTGGCTCAGTCAGTTGGGTGTCCGACTTCGGCTCAGGAACTCGAACTTCGGGAGTTTGAGCCCCGCATCGGGCTCGCTGCTATCAGCGCAGAGCCCGCTTCAGATCCTCTCTCTCCCTCTCTCTGCCCTGCCTCCACTTACTTGCCCTCAAAAATAGATAAAACGTTTAAAAAAAGAGAAATACAGGCAGCTCTTAAGTTATAGTCCTCTGGGCCTCAAAATACTTTCCCAAAGAAACTTTTAAAAATACAGTCCAATTTAGCAAGCATTTATTAAGCACTTAACTGTGTGAAGAGTTACTCTGTTACCGTATTTCATTGATTATAGGATGCACATTTGTTTTCCACGTTTTTGCTTGTCTGAAATGCATCTTGCAATCGACAGCAACTTAAAGCTGATGAAATATGGCATGTGCCGGAGATGGAGATACATAGGCGAAATTCTCTGCCCCCAGAGAACTTCCATTCTTTATAATAAATGATTGCCGTGGAAGCTTACAAAGGTAGTACTGCAGAGTAAAGCCTGGCCTCATTTATTAGGAGTTTGGCTAGGGAAGGTAGGAAAGACATTTCAGCGTACAGCTTTTGGCCCCTGACGTGACTGTGGGAACGAGCCCCACACCACTCGCCTTTTCCCTGTTGCTATGTGAAGGGGCAGCTGGTGTGTCAGAACAAGGGTGGGGGCTGGGATAGCAGCTTGTGGGCTCAGGATCAGGGACTTGGTGAATTTGGGACTAGAGAGGAGTTCCATCGGGAGCGGCTCCCACTTGCAGAATACCTGGGGACGGAGAGATGAGGGGCTCCAGGAAGCAGCAGTTCCGGTGTTGGCGGGTGCTCCAGTGGGGAGACAGCAGAAGGCTGTATTAATTATCCAGTAATCAGGTATCCTTCAGAAGGAGTCTTTGAATTTAAAAATCAGACTTCCAGAAATGAAGCAGCGAATGGAAAACTTACCAAGTCTCTTTTTGGTTGGATTTTTAAAAATATTTATTTATTTTTGGGAGAGTGCAAGCGAGGGAGGGGCAGAGAGAGGGGGACAGGGAATCCGAAGCGGGGTCTGCACTGACAGGCTGACAGCAGTGAGCCCGATGTGGGGCTCGAACCCACGAACCGTGCGATCATGACGTGAGCCGAAGTCGGATGCTCAACTGACTGAGCTACCCGGGCACCCCATGGATTTTCTAGAAATTGTAACAGTTCTGTCGAAAGGAAGATTATAAGGGAAAAAAGCCCCACCAAAGATGACCTCCTCTCTGTGGCTACACATCCTACAGTGTAGAAAACCCGTGTCTGAAATCCATAAAGCATATCTGAAATCTAGTTTTCAAAACAACAGAAGCCAAAGTGCACATTTAAGACTGTGGTATTTTCTTTTTTGTTCATGCCAATCTGATAAAAACATGCTGTGAATCTGGTAAGATATAGAAAAGTACTTCTGGCCTTCGAGCTATCTAGTCACATATGTTAATCCAACATCTGAGAAGTCAGTATTTGCTTTATCCTGTATGGTGATTTTTTTTTTTTTAAATCTACATACAGTTTGCAGAAGATATCATTATTCAGGTTAAACTCCTTTTTGGTGGGTAACAAGGAGTGGATAGCACACTTATTTTTTAAAAATGCCATCAGAACAGGGGCGCCTGGGTGGCGCAGTCGGTTAAGCGTCCGACTTCAGCCAGGTCACGATCTCGCGGTCCGTGAGTTCGAGCCCCGCGTCGGGCTCTGGGCTGATGGCTCGGAGCCTGGAGCCTGTTTCCGATTCTGTGTCTCCCTCTCTCTCTGCCCCTCCCCCGTTCATGCTCTGTCTCTCTCTGTCCCAAAAATAAATTAAAAAAAAGTTGAAAAAAAAATGCCATCAGAACAAACACCGTCTTTCCTCATGAGTCATCATATGTTCTTTATCTTTTCACTTGCGGTATCTGATGTGTGAAATGACAGTGTCGTGTGCACTTGAAAACAACACGACCAGGAAGAATGATGTTCTTTAGATGTCCTTCTGGATTACAGAAGAGTTTGAAACAAAAACGCAACAACAGCAATAATAATGGCTAACGCTTAGGTAGTGTTCACCATATGCCAGGTATCGTTATAAGGGGTTTAAATGAAGTAACTCACTTGACTTAGAGTAACCTATGAAATAGGTGCCGTTTATTTCCCTTTTTGCAGATAAGGAAAATGAGCCACAGAGAGGGTAGGTACCTGGCAAAAGGCCCCTCAGCCAGGAAACAGCAAGAGCCATGATTTAAATCCAGGCAGCCTGGCTTTGTAGACCACAGTCTCAGCCCTGAAGTCCGATGCTACTCTGCTGCCTCAGCAGTAGAGGAGAGTTGACAGGTGCCTGGTGGAGCAGGAATGTGAGGGAAGTACGGGGAGTCAAGGCAGATACCACCCTTCAGCCTAGAAGGAAAATCCCTGGGACTTTCGGGTTGGACTTACCCTCTCTAATTCCGAAAGCACAGAATTAGGGACTAAAAAGAACAAAACGAAGAAGACACCGAGTACATGTGAAGAGGGTATCAAAACATGCTAAAAGATCACCAATTTACATGTTAAGAGAGAGATTACATATTTATTTTATTTATTTTAATTTTTTAATGTTTATTATTTTTGGGAGAGACAGAGACAGACAGAGAGAGCAAGCAGGGAAAGGTCAGAGAGAGAGGGAGACACAGAATCGGAAGCAGGCTCCAGGCTCTGAGCCGTCAGCACAGAGCCCGACACGGGGCTCGAACTCACAGACCGCAAGATCATGACCTGAGCTGAAGCCGGCCACCCAACCGACCGAACCACCCAGGCACCCCCTTTTTTTAAAAAAAATTCTTTTCAGTGTTTATTTTTGAGAGAGCGAGAGAGAGACAGAACATGAGCAGGGGAGGGGCAGAGAGAGGGAAAGGGAGAGGAAGACACAGAATCTGAAGCAGACTCCAGGCTCCAAGCTGCCAGCCCAGAGCCTGACGTGGGGCTCGAACCTGAGAACTGTGAGATCATGACCTGAACCGAAGTCGGATGCTCAACCGACTGAGCCACCCAGGCCCCCTGAGAGATTACATTTTTTTTTTTCAATGAAGCTCGAGTTCCCAGGAAAATATGTGTAGGAGCTACTTAATTCTGAGATGGAAAAAACAAGCTAACAACCCTTGAGTCTTTCTCATACCATAACCTAAATACCTTAAGACAGCCTCAACTGGAACTGTGATTGCTGACTCTGGTTGGTTATGTTCAACCCTAGGACCAGCACAGAATTTTGATTCACATTATTTTTATAAATTGAATGTATCCTAAGAGTTTTTTTAATCTAGGAAGTCCAGAGAAGCTGGATGAAGCAGAACACACATTCCAGAGTGAATCAAGAGAAGTTACTGGGCCTCAATTTTCTCACCTAAAAAGTCAGATTTCTTGCTTCCTCTTGGCTACATCACAGATACGCACAGGACAAACTAATGTAAAAGTGGTCTGAAATGTTGGGAAGTAACGTATTGCATAATTTAAAGTTGGGTAGTTAAGCACTATTTTCAAGTCTTTAAGAGTAGAAGAGTTTCCATGAAAAAGGAGTCTCTGGATATCTGCAGTGAGATATCGAAATAGATCAAGTTTCATAATCCCTTATTTGTTTTTAGGTAACAGTATTTTGAGTTAATCATCTTTTGTCAGTTTACGTGTCTGAGTATGAAATGAGAGGTAGAGGTAGTGAGCTCTCTAGAAAATTAGAAACAGAGGTAGGATTATTCCTGCTATTTTAAGTAACTTTGCAGTCATCACCTGGCAGTGATGCCCATGCACTTTTCTGCTACTTTTTTATGTATTTTTTTTTTTCTGAGGCAGCATCGAAGGCTCTCCAAAAGGATTTGAGTTTGAATCCAATTTGATGGAATAGTATGGAATAACGTAGGTAGCCATAGGGTGAAATATGATGAGCCATTAAAACTGACTTTATAGTGGAATAGCTGGGAAGTATTCACAGTCAAGTAAGGGAAGATTTGTAGAATATCATATAAGTATCTGAATTATTATTATTATTTTTTTTTTTGAGATCTCAGTCCGGGAAGTGATATATACTAAAATGTTAGCAGTTGTGGTTATTCTTAGGAAGTGGATTCAGAGCAGGACTTTCTTCTCTTTTTTGCAGTTATATGGGTTTTGCAATGAACAGGTGTCATTTCTGTAATGGGGGGAAAACGAACACTGGGAGGATAAAAGGAAGTATACCTATATGGCAGGGGCATCTTTGAGTGATAGCACCTTGGTTCATATTTGTTTCTATTTTTTATTTTTCAAGTGTTCTGTATTGAGCATACATGTTACTTAAAAATTTTTTTAATGTTTATTTTTGAGAGGGGGGGAGGGGCAGAGACAGAGGGAGACACAGAACCTGAAGCAGGCTCCAGGCTCCGAGCGGTCAGCACAGAGCCGGGCGCGGGGCTCAAACCCATGAACCACAAGATCATGACCTGAGCTGAAGTTGGGTGCTTAACCGACTGAGCCACCCAGGTGCCCCCATGCATGCTACTTTTATACTTAAAAATCTAAGAGACTTTGCTAAAAAAAACTAAGTGGTTGAATTCTGTGCAATTTTTAAAAACTACTTTAATAGTTATTTTAAAAATCAACGTGTACTTGTGGCTTCAGATCCTGTGTCTCCCTCCCTCTCCTTCCTTGCTCATGCTCTGTGTCTCAAAAATGAATAAACGTTAAAAAAAATCAACGTGTACTCATTGTACAGTATTGTAGCAATGAAGAAGAGTAGAAATAAACTTAAAAACCATCCATAACGTACTCTATCTTGAATAGTCTTTTTAGGAATAATCTTTAATTTATTTAGTCTATAAGCAGATTAACAGGGTTCGAATCACAGTTCTCTTACTTTATAGCTGTGTGACCTTGGGTAAATTTCTTGGCCACTCTGTGCCTTAGTTTCCTCACCTGTACAATGAGGGTAATAATAGCACCTACCACACGAGAGGATTAAATGTGTTACACATATATAAAGTGCATAAAATTGCCTGGCACACAGTAAGTGCTCCATAAATGTAGTCTATTATTATTGTGCTATACTGTATACATCTGTATCATGCTTTTCAAAATTATTACTTAAGCTCTTCCCCCTTTTGTCGTATGTTATATTTCATGAACTGTGCTATTTCATCATGTGATGAATGCACCCTAGTTTACTTACTTAACCATTCTCACTGGACGTTTGCATGTGTCACCAAACTCCTTACGCACCACACACTAATTCTTAACCAGAAACACCCATCTGGAAAAATCTTGCGTATGTGAAAACTTGTTAGAGCAAACACCCTGAATCAGAGTGCTGATTCAAACAAACATCAGCATGCTGTGTCACGGTTTTATGTCGAAAAATGCTAGAATAGGAAAATACTGTTTTAATCTCAGAAGTTCATTTTAAAATCCAAACGAAACTTTATTTTCCACAGATGGTTGGTAAAGGATTCTTCCTAGTTCAAACCAAGGAAGTGTCAATGAAAGCTGAAGATGCTCAGAGAGTTTTTGGGGAGAAAGCACCTGACTTCCTTCCTCTGCTGAGTAAAGGTACCTTCTGGATGATTGGTGTACTTGTGTGGTTATCCTCCTGATGCATGATTAGAACTACTCTTGCCCTTAGCATTTCTCTTACATTGCCTTCTTTTTCTTGTTTTTGTTTTTTTTTCTGTTACTATTCACAACTGGCAAAAATTTTGGGGCGCCTGGGTGACCCAGTCGGTTAAGCGTCCAACTTTGGCTCAGGCCATGATCTCGTAGTCCTTCGGTTCAAGCCCCACGTTGGGCTCTGTGCTGACAGCTCAGAACCTGGAGCCTGCTTCGGATTCTGTGTCTCCCCCTCACTCTCTCTCTCTGCCCCTCCCCTGCTCTCACTGTGTGTGTGTCTCTCTCTCAAACATAAACATTAAAAAAAAAAAGTCAGAATTTCACATCATTCAAAAATCCCTGTGTAACTAACTAGAAATTAGGCAGTAGGTCTTTTCCCCCTATTCTGTCATGTTAGTACTTGAATGTCACATTTCATTATTATATATTTTGTTATTTCTAATTCTTATTGTATTGTACTACAGTGAGTGACTGTTTTGTTCTCCCTGTACAGAGTTACAAAGCACTTTATAAGGATTCTTTCTGCTTTAGTGTGCTTTGACCCTACTGGAAAGGAAATAAGAAATATAAACAAAATGGTATACTATTTTATGTATTTAATATGATTAACTTTCCATGCATAATTAGGATTGTTTTCCCCAGTGGACAAATGCCACCAATAAATTTCAGATACTGAAAACATGTCTACAAACAGAGGAACTGGAATTTGTGTGCCCTCCTGAAGGGTTATATCTGCCTACATGTATTTGAAGGTATACCGATTCTAAAGGACAGAGTTCTGTTTGTCCGTCAGAGCAGGGACATGGTTTGCTCAAGATTCATCAGGCTTTTCTTGACTGGCTGGAGCCAATATGTGTAGTAATATGCCGTGCTGATGGAATATACCCTGAAAAGATGGCATGTCTGCATTTACATGCTTTTTATGTATAAATTGTAATAACCGTGAAACCTATGTGAAAATGTTGGAGGATTGTTGGGAGAATTTTAATGGCTAATGCTGCGTATGACTCAGCCATTAATACAGTACTTCATACACCTTTGTGGTTACTGTAGCAATATGAAGGATTTGCTCTAACCCAGTGCCTGCATCTACTATAGAGTATATATATCAGAAATTATGACCTGGCTCCTTTTTTTTTTTTAAGTATAATTAACATACAGTGTTATGTTAGTTTCAAGTGTACAGCATAACGATTCAACAATTCTGTATATTTCTCAGTGCTCATCATGATAAGTGTACTCTTAATCTCCTTTATCTATTTCACTCCTTTCCCCACTCCTCCTCCCCTTTGGCAACCACCAGTGTTCTGTATTTAAGAGGCTGGGTTTTTTTTTTTTTTTTGTCTTTTTTCTCTTTGTTTTCTTAAATGCCACATATAAGTAAAATCATAGGGTAGTTATCTTTCTCTGGCTGACTTGTTTCACTTAGTATTATACCCTCTAGCTCCATCCATGTTGCAAATGGCAAGATTTCATTCTTTTTATGGTTGAGTAGTATTCCATGTTATATGTGCGTATGTATGCATACGCGCGCACACACACACACACACACCCCACATCTCCTTTATTCATGCATCTATTGATGGACACTTGGGCCGCTTCCATAATTTGGCTATTATAAATAATGTTGCTATAAATAATGTATACATAGAGGTGTATATATGAATTACAGGGTTTTTCTGTTTTTCGGGTCAACACGCAGAAGCGCAGTTACTGGATCATAGGGAAGTTCTGTTTTTAACTTTTTGAGGAACCTCCATATGGTCTTCCACAGTGGCTATACCAGTTTGCTTTCCACCAACAGTGCCTGAGGGTTCCTTTTTCCCCACATCCTCACCAATGCTTGTTATTTCTTGTGCTTTCGATTTTAGCCATTCTGACAGGTGTAAGGTGATATCTCATTGTGGTTTTAATTTGCATTTTCCTGATGATCAGTGATATTGAGCATCTTTTCATGTGTCTGTTGGTCATCTGTGTGTCCTCTTTGGAAAAATGTCTGTTCAGGTCCTCTGTCCATTTTTAATTGGGTTATTTCACTTTTTGCTGTTGAGTTGCATAGGAACTTTATATATTTTGGATATTAGCCCCTTATCAGATATTCATCTGCAAATATCTCCTCTCATTCAGTAGGCTGCCTTTTTATTTTGTTGCTTTTGTTTTTCTTGCCTGAGGAAACATACCTAGAAAAATGTTTCTATGGCTGATGTCAAAGAAATGACTGCCTATGTCTTCTACTAGTTTTATGGTTTCAGGTCTCACATTTAGGTCTTTAATCCACTTTGAGTTTATTTTTGTGTATGGTGTAAGAAAGTGGTCCAGTTTCTGGGGCGCCTGGGTGGCTCAGTCAGTTAAGCATCCAACTTCGGCTAAGGTCATGATCTCACAGTTTGTGAGTTCGAGCCCCGCATCTGGTTCTGTGCTGACAGCTTAGAGCCTGGAGCCTGCTTCGAATTCTGTGTCTCTCTCTCTCTCTCTGCTCCTCCCCTGCTCATGCTCTGTCTCTCTCTCTCTCTCCTTCAAAAATAAATAAAAACATTTCAAAAAAATTTAAAAAAAAGAAAGTGGTCCAGTTTCATTCTTTTGCATGTAGCTGTCCGCTTTTCCCAACACTGTTTGTTGAAGAGACTGTCTTTTCCCCATTGTATATTCTTGCTTTCTTTGTCATAGATTAATTGCCTATATAAGCATGGGTTTATTCCTGGACTCTATTCTATTCCATTGACCTGTGTGTCTATTTTTGTGCCAGTACCATACTGTTTTGATTATCTATAGCTTTGTAGTATATGTTGAAATCTGAGATTGAGATACCTCCAGCTGTATTCACCTTTTTCTTTTTTTTAAGTTTTATTTATTTAAGTCATCTCTACACCCCACGTGGGGCTTGAACTCATGACCGCGAGATCAAGAGTCGCATGCTCCTCTGACTGAACCAGCTAGGTGCCCCTCTTCTTCTTTTTCAGGATTGCTTTGGCCATTCAGGGTCTTTTGTGGTTTCATACACATTTTAAGATTAGTTTCTGTGAAAAATGTTGTTAGTATTTAATAGGGATTGCATTAAATCTGTAGATTTCTTTGAGTAGTATGGACATTTTAACAATATTATATTGGTTATTCCAATTCATGAGCATGGCATATTTTTCCATTTCTTTGTTTCATCTTCAGTTTCTTTCATCAGTGTTTTATAGCTTTCAGAGTACAGATGTCCTAGTTCCTTTGATGCAACTGTTTTGACATGGGAGCATTCTGATGGAACCTTGAAAATAAGCCTTTAAACTCTCAGCAGGTTTCAGAAATTGAATCAGCAGGGGCACCTGGGTGGCTCAGTCGGTTGAGCATCTGACTTCAGCTTAGGTCATGATCTCATGGTTCGTGAGCTTGAGCCCCACATCAGGCCTGCTGCTGTCAGTGCAGAGCCTGCTTCAGATCCCGTCTCCTTCTCTCTCTGCCCCTCCCCTGCTCATGTTCACTCTCTCTCTGTCAAAAATAAATAAACGTTAAAAAAAAAGAAATTGAGCCAATAATAATTGTAATGGACATCCTAAAGTGTGAGATTAGGGATGAAGTGAGTATATGGGCAGGTCTACATTAACGATTTATGTACTCATGAAATGTTAGTGGAGTGACTTAATAGAAATGCTCCAACCCCGAGTGTAATATTTGTGCTTAAGTAACACAACATTCCACATGGAAGAAGTAAAAGGACTAAACAAAAGAACTAAAACCAATGGGCAGATGTTACAGGAATTTCAGCAATAAACATCATATAAATAACTTTTAAAACCAGAGATACCCATAGGAAGTACTCACAGTCTAACGAGGTCATGCCAGGTCACGGGAGCCAACTGAAATCCCTTTCCACTGGCCAAACTTGGTATAATTTGGGCATCACAAAGGATAATGAACGGAATTGATTTAACAACAGAAATCCATGTATCCTGGGGCGCCTGGGTGGCTCAGTCGGTTGAGCATCCAACTTTGGCTCAGGTCATGATCTCGCGGTTTGTGAGTTCGAGCCCACATCGGGCTCTGTGCGGACAGCTCGGAGCCTGGAGCCTGTTTCGGATTCTGTGTCTCCTCCTGTCTCTGCCCCTCCCCTGCTCATGCTCTATCTCTCCATCGCTCAATAATAAATAAACATTAAAAAAAAAAAAGAAATCCATGTATCCATAGTGATGACGAAAAAGGGAGGAGGAAATAAAAGGAAACCTCTTCTCCACTTTACAGAATACTATGAACTAATAAATGTAGCAGGAGTGATAAACTTTGGAAATCACCATCATCCAATCCCCAAGGTAATAATTAATTCAGATAAAGGTTATCAGTGGGTGCTAAAACTGTTGGGGTAAAAGTTGCTAATAAATAGGATATTTATACATTCTCATTCAAAAGGGAAATGTATTATTACAGCAGAGATTTGGTAATCACTCCCATCAAACTTAGCATCACGGAGGGCAGGACAGCCTGACATTGTGTTTCTTCTGATGCGATGCAATAAGAAATTCACAGCATCACCTGTGATGAGCTCATCCCAAAAATAACTTGAATCCAATCAAGACTTAATTGCTAGTTTATCTGAAAGAATGGAAATCTAGGGACATGTTAAATGACACTATGAGAAAATAATGATTCAAATCTTAAAAAGACATTCTACAGGACGACTGGTTAGCACTCTTCAGATAATGTTCTGGGAAACAAAAATGATGGGGGACCATTGTGGATTAAAAGAAACATAACAACTAAATACAATGAATAAAACTTAATTGGAACTTAGATTGGGATGGGGTGAACTATAAAGCTATAAAAGACGTCTTGGGGAAGCCTCAGGAAGTTTGGAGATAATATTATGGAATTACTGTTAGTATTCTTAAGTATGGTAATGATATTGTGGTCATGTGGGAGATTCGTGCTGAAGTGTCATGACGTCCTGTCGTCATGTCCACTCT